GGGGGGGGGGGGAGAGGAATAAATTTGTGAAAATACCTGAGACCATTGGAATCGGAATTTCCTTATTTCTGGTCTGTGCGGTAAATTTGACACGTGAACGCCCATTGTGAAGCGAGGGTTATATGCGCCATTACAACATGGCATGCGACACTAATGCGAGCTTGCCTCGTGTATACTCATACCTGAATGCAAGTGTGTCTATTCGTGCGGATAAGTGCTTGGGACAGGACGCAATTCAGTTTTTACCATAATCACTTGAATTTTATGTTCGTTGTTGATCCAATGATGGATTAAAACCGATGTATTGAGGGTTTTTTCGATTCTCGAAGGATTTCCACACGGAGAGAATTTTGTTTTTTTGATAAAAATTATCCTATCGTTCTATGAAAGTGTGGCATGAGTCATGGTTTCCACATTTCTATCCCGAGATTTTGTAAAAATTGATATATGATGATCAAATTTTATTCTACGTTAGAGAAATTGAGAAATTCAGGAAAACTCATTAGTTTCCCAAGGAATTCGAGGAAAATCTCTGAAGATCTACGTAATTTTTTGAAGAATTCAAGAAATTTTTTCAGTTTTCTGAGAAATCAATTCATAACCCTCCCCTCATTTTTCAATAATGACAGATTTAATCAGATTATTTTAAAAAGTAAAAAAAATGAATTAATCGAAGATTAAAAATCATTCATCGATGTTTCACTCTTCATTCTCTTAATTCTCTTCAAGTAATTATCAATATTTATAAAATATCTATGAGTATATGAAGTTTAATAAATTCGATTTCTTCATTTTCACAACTAATAAATGAGCCCACACAGCTCTAGTTTTTCAAACGATTAATGGTTGATATTAATTATTTGTATTATTCAAGGAATATTGATTAATTGAAATGTTTAATTGGAGCAAGCAATCAGGAAAGATTGATCCTCAGGCAAATGAAATCTGTATAAAGTCAATGGAATCAGTTCTCAAAATTAAATTCAAACACTTCCTCCAATCAGGCTCTCCCCCCTCCCAGGCACCTCTGAATTACTACCCCAGATTAATTGCACCCAGAGGAGTCTCTTGCCGCCAGTCAAAGCCCTCGGATGTACTCCAAAAGTATTACCGTCTCTCTCTGTCTCTCTCTGCCATTTATGTCCCTCCCCCTCCGGCCCCATCTGAAACCACCGCTTGTATTCTCAAGTGCGAGTGGGCGTGACGATTGCTGGAGGATAAATGTGTCACGTAGGTACCGGCTGAAGTGCCAGATTGGTCAGCGCTTTTTTTGAGATGTCCCAGAGCCGTCTATCAGGGGGCCGGTGGGCATCCTCTAGGCAATCATTATTGACACTCACAAAACAAAGGAAATTCGGAGGGATTTTTTTTTCGTGAAGTACTGCTGAAGTCATTCCCGAATTCCCTCATCAGAATTTTATTGCTTTCTTCGTCAGTCTGGGAAACATTCTAGTGCTTGTCCTTCGGCACTGGAAAATTTTCCTCAACGCGAAATTTTTTTTAACAGCAAACGAAGTATTAGGGGAGGGTGGGGCAAAACGGCCCCCCTTCAATTGTCAATAACTTGTGAATGACATTGTGAAAATTCCCAGTTTCAACTTCATTTTGAAGATAATTTTTCATTCTTCAAAACGAGCTCTAACTCATCCCAATCGGATTATTGAATCGGAAAATATTGACGATTGAAGGGGGGCCGTTTTGCCCCATCCTCCCCTAGTTGACAGACAAACAATTTTTTCTTGACCAAAATTTTCATTTTTTTTTAAATTACTCATTGATAGTTTTGTTATTGCTCTTTTTTGTTAATTCCTGAAGAGGAATTAACAATTTTCCATTTTTCCCTGAATTCTCCTGATTTTTCCGCATTTTCACAGAATAATTGAACTGAAAAATCAACTATTTCACTGATTTCCAGATTAATTGATCGAAAAATCAATGGAATGTTTGATTTTTCAATAACAACATTTCCTGAAATTTCAGTGGAACTTGAACACGATAAAAATTCCCGGAATTGTGTAGAGGAATTAAAATAGTAGAAAAAAAGCATTCGAAAATCTAGTGGCTCTCAGCATGAAAAGGTCATTAATAATTTCATTCATTCCGTCACCCAGACACACGATCCACCTCACATTAAAATTCTTAGCCAAATTTTCTCCTCATAGGGTAAACTGCCCAGTAGATGGACGCGTAAGAAAACCGCCCAGTAGATGGACGTTTGTTTTTTAGCAATTGAAAAAAAAACGATCGAAAAAAAATCGTCACTCAGGGGTTAAGAATCACAACAGTTGGTGAAAATTCAAAGCAGCAATTCACATTTCAGTATTTTTTTGCGCAATTTCCTATCCTAAAGTAGCTCGTCCATCTACTGGATAGCTTACCCTACACAGCAGAAAAATGTTACAATTAAAAAATCTCAAAGAGCATAAAATACATCAGCGTCGGTGCGAGCGAGTTGTGGGAAAAGAAACTGGGGTGGTTTGATGTATATTTGCGGCTTAGTACGGCCCATGAAATTCACCCGCGGGTGGATTTCATCCCCGAACTGGGAAATGTTGCGGGCTAGGCGGTGGAGGGGGGAGGGGGAGGGAGAAACCGATAAAAGGTTCGCGTTGAAGTTAAATAGGTGCATAACGAGGGCATTATGTAAATTCCCCGGCGTTCGCCATCCCTTCGTTGGGTGAATAAAAAAAATTGAGAGGTTGGTCTTTTGTGTATCTTATCACACTCACGCTGGGCCTTCGACTCGGAATATCGCTGAATATCGCACCCCTGGGAGGCTCGGTGGTTTAGAGTGTGCGGAAGGTAGATTGAAAACGATAATATACGCGAAGGGGATTTCAGGGGTCGATTTTTCAGGGATAATTTTGGAGGTTTCTGGAAATGCTGAGGGAGGAATCCTCGTGAAGAATGTGATGAAAATAATTGAGATTTTTTTTTTTTTGATTTTACTTGAAAACAAATCAATTTAGAAATATTTCTTGAAAAATTGAATGTTAATTCAAGTAAATCCAAGTATCACTTACTTCAGCGTCATTGAAATTACATTTCGCACAGAATTATTATTTTTTTAACAATCCTTGTTCATAAATTAGTTATAGAAAATTCTCGTAATATGTAAAACTTGCAATTTTAAAATTATTTCATCAATCTTCCTCCAAAAGTAAACTTCCTAATTTTTTTTCAGTTTTTAAAAATATTTTCTAACGGTTCTAACTGACATTTGGGGTCAATTGAATTTCAACTAAAAATTCCGATGTTCCACTGCAAACGCAAAAAATCGTTTCACTAGAGAAAAAAAAGCCAAAGTATTTACGTCAACATTTCGCTATTTCATTCCCATTTTTTAAATCGTTCCAAGTGCCCAGATTATTCATCTTTGATGATCCACAGTAGAAAAAGATTGAATAACGCTGGAAGAAACCTTTTATTTTCCATCGTTATCCTCATTGAGTGAACTTCACAAAAATTTCCATTTCAAATGTAAAATCCTCGACCCAAATTCCCATTCAATCCCCGGGGGCAAAAAAATTGGTATTTAAATGTCCGTTAAATGCTAATAATCCCGTGAATATTTTTAATGTCAATAATAATGTAGTGGAGAGCCCTAGACATTCCCGTCAATAAACTTCTTTCATAAATTCTCTCGTGTTTTCCATGTTGTCTCACGGGTGTTATACAGTCCTCAGTGATAATGATCAACGGTGACGTTTCGCCTATAATCGTTTCTTCGAAAAAGGAATGGGGAAAAAACAACACAATAACGGTGGTGAAATAAAAGTAAAAATATGGGTACATTAAAACGAGAGGGGTTGAATGGCCCGTGGCACCTTCACGATCGCAATATATTGCAATATGATATTATGCACCACTCGGCCCCCACGAGTATGACAGGGTATTATCCCCACGCAGTTGCGAGATTTCCATATTGCGGCCAACGTAACATTACGCCAAATCGACCGCGTAATTATGAATTCTGGATTAAGGGAGACGCAGTGACCCACGTGGCCATGCAAACAAGTCAATCCTTTTTGTCTTTGGTATTATTTTTTTGCTTTGTAAACGTTCGTATTTAGTC